CCTATGTATTAGGAATCTACCCATTTCTTCTGGATTCTTCAGTTTATTGAAGTACAGGTTTTCGAAGTAGTTACTAATACTCTGAGTTTCAGTGATCTCTTGTGATTTTGCCTTTTTTCACTCTAATTGCACACTTTGGGTCTTTATATTTTTGGTGAAATTGGCTAAGGGTTTGTCCATTTTGCTTATTCTTTTGAAGAACCAGCTCTTTAAGTCATTGATATTTTGTGATTTTTTTTTTGGTTTCAATTTCATTAATTTCTGCTCTAATTTTTCTTGTACTAGCTTTGGCTTCAGATTATTGTTTTCTTTCCTGGGACCTTCAAGTGTGTCATTAGGTTATATAAAATTCCCTTTTAGGACTGTTTCCATTGTTTCTCATGCCTTCTTGTATATTGGATTGGCTTTATCATTTGAATCTAGGAACTGTATAATTTCCTTCTTGATTTCTTCTGTGACCCATGGATTATTGAAGTGTGCATTGTTTAATTACCATGTGTTTGCATAATTTTTGTGGTTTCTTTTGGCATTGATCTCTACTTTCATACAATGGGTAACATGTAGGAGACATGGCACATTCTGAAGACCAGTGTGGCCTGATTTCAGAGACAATTTGCTTAGCTTCTGTCCTGTACTTTGACACATTCTGGGGCTTTCTGCTTCCACATGATGGAAGCATGTGGCTTTCAGCAAAGGACAGACCATGTCTGTTTTGTTCATTGTCACAGCCTTAAAATAGCTCTTAAATGACTGGAGAAATGAAAGGCTGCTATCTCTTCTGAAGGAAACTTGGGATACATGCTTTTAATTGATTGTTATTTGTGTTATTTGTTATTATTGCAGTACTAGGGATCAAACCTTGGAGTGTTCGATCACTGAGCTACATCTCCAGCCTCCCTTTTTTATTTTGAGACAGCATCTCACTGATTCACTAAGTTGCCCACGTGCGAGTCCAACTTAGTGTCTTCTGGCCTCAGCATTCGGAGTGCTGGGATTATAGGCATGTGCTATCACATCTGGCTTATTATTTAAGAAATTTTTTAACTTGAGACACTTTTTCCCTTGAGATGAGTGGATATGAGAAATTGCCATGAGTAAAATTAATAGTCCTATATTTAGAACTGTACATGAAAGGGTATGCCAATGTAGTACTAGTGAGTCACTTGGGAGTCCCCGCTCATTCCTGACATGACTAATGCTGTCCTTTTCTTCTTTTATCACAAGGCTATGAGAACATCCAAAGTAAACCTTATTGGGGATGTAGTTTGGTGGCAATGTGTATGCTTAGCATGTGCAGTATTCTGTGTTTAATGCCCAGTTCTGAAAGAAACCAAAGCAAACACACACACAGAAAACCACCCCTGTGGTGGTTAGAGTGGAATGTTAAATTTGAGGGACTTTGGAATTCTCTTGGGGGTTGTGGGAACATACTTTTATGAGGTGTGTCCAGGGGGTTCATGGAGGCTTAGCCTTGGGATCCTTTTCGGGTCCCCCACCCTTTTCTCCCTGCTGTGCTTCCTGGCTACCATGAACCAAACAGCTCTGCTCCATGATGTTCTTCTGCCCTGAAGTGGCTGCATGGGAGCCAGCTGACCGTGGACTGAATCCCCTGCAATCATGAGCCGGATGAACTCTCCCTTAAATTGCATCAGGTCTTATGTCTCAGCAAGGCCAATACAGAAAGCTGTAGCAGAGGTGGGGCCATTGCTGTGTCTGTACCTGACAGTGTGGTTCAGAAGTTTCTGAACTAGACTGAGAAAGTATGGAGATACGCACTAGAGAAGGCCTAGGATGCTGTAAGCTGATGGGCAATTGTGGTCAGAGCCCCGAAGACCCAAATGCTGGTAGGAATACTGGCACTACAGATTGGGCTCAGGTTCGGAACAAGGACAGCACTGGCAGTTGGACTAGAAGCCATGTGTGTGACACTGTCAAAAGGGGCCTACATTTTCCCTGTGTCCTGAGATTAAGGTCAGTGGGCTAATCTGTCAGGGGACAGTTGAGTGTCACCCAGCCTTCAGACTGTGGCATGGGTTTTGAGGGTTGCTTTTAGTCTGGCTTATAGTGAGAATCAGGCAAAAAGCAGGGCAGAAACATTTGAAAAACTTGGTCAATGTGTAAACCTGGGGCCAGAGGATGTGTGGCTGCTGAAGAGATGAATACCAGTGTGTGGGGGGGGAACCCCTGAAAACAAAATACTAAGCACTTTATAGTACCAGGACAAGAAGTAAGATTTGAGCACATCTTAGGAACCAGCAAGAGCTCACCCACAGTAGGCTCACAGGTTCGAAAGTATAAACCTTTCATTTAAGAGGAATGCTCCTCGGCTGGGAAGATAGCTCAGCGGTTTAAGTGCCTGCCTGGCAAACGCAAGGACCTGGGTTTAATCCCAGGTACCATGTGCTGTTCCATCCCCTGAAACACCAGATCCACCATGCTGGACCTGAAACTGGGCGTGGTAGCACATGCCTGTAATGCCAGCACTGGGGAGGCTGAGACAGGAGGATCACTACAAGTCTGAGCTGTGTAGTGAGACCCTGTATACATAAATAAAAAAAAAAATTGCTCCTGGATCCCTCCTTCAGAAGGCTCTCCTGGGGAGCTGGTTTCCTGCTTTCATTTCTCAGTGCTCAACCATCCTAGACACTCTCAGGCTGTTGCAGCCGTAGTCTAAGGCTGGACATTCACTCCACTGACAGACCCTGGTGTCTTCTGGGATGCTGCCTACCTGCTTGCAGCATGCAAGAGTTACAGGGCGAGGGAGGCTTTCACCCAGATGTCGGAGGGTGGCCCAGGATGCCCAGTGGTGTGCCCTGAGAGGGCAGTGTGTGGAGCTGTGAGTGAAGCCAAAGTGCACTGGAGGTCGCAGGAAGGCAGAGATGCTGGAATGGTATAGTGTCTGCTGAGGAATGCTGTAGGCCATTCCCCCTGAGAGAGAGGCTATGTGGGCTTCAGCCAGTGAGGCTGCAGGACTGGGGCCTCCCAAGCCCTTGGGAACCTACATTTTCCAGCATGTGCTCTGGACACCAAACATGGAACTATAGGACTTAAGGTTTCGGTTGCTGGACTGAGGTCTTACTTTGGACCAGTTTGTTTCTGTCTCCCTGTCCCTCCCTGTTGGGATGTGAATGCTGACCCCATGTCATTGGACCTTGGGATCACAAAGCTTTTTATTTCTATAGGGGCTCATAAGTAAGAGTCTGCCTTTAGCTTCAAAATAGACTTTGAACCAGACTTCTGAAATGTGCAGAACTGTTGAGCCTTCAGGGAGAGATCACTGCATTTCTAGTTGTTTCTGCACAGTCGCATCAGATGGTGACGAAAGGTGCCATGTGGCAGGTGGGCGCAGTGTCACCTTGACTGGCTTTGGGATCCACCTGGAGCGGCTGGTGGAGCACGTTTCTGGGTGTGTCATGGGCGTGACCTGGCCTGGTCCCTGTCCCTTTTCTTCTGATGCTGTTGCCATCCTCTTGGCCTTGGATAAGAACTAAGCTCTGTTCTGTGAGGCTGCTACCTTGGAGCCAGCCGAGTGGAAAGTGAAGCCCTGAATCAGGAGCCGAAGCAAACCCGCCCTCCATTAAGCTGTGGGTGCCAGGTGCTGTCCCTGAGTAACAAGGAAGCTGACAAATGCCAAACCTCAGGTTCCCTTTGTGTGTGCTATAAAGTGTCTCCAGTGTGTACAGCCCGAAAAAGCAACAAGCACCAGTGACAGCAAAAATGACAATGGTAAAGAGAACTCTTTAGGGTTTATTCAATGCTATCTTTTTAATTTTGATCCGTAGTTGTTTAGCACAAGTATATGTGATAATATCCAGGGTAGTCTGGTAATAAAATTGTTTTGGTTTGGTAAAATTTTATGATTCTAACTACATTTAAATGAGTATTGGGGGCTAGGGATATAGCTCAGTGGCACAAACACTTGGCCTGGCAAGTGCAAGGGCCTGAGTTCAATTCCTGGTTACCCCCCCCACAACCAACCAATCAACCAAACAAACAAACAAAAAACAGAAGAGAAAATGGGAAAGGGGGAAAAAAAACCCAAAGAAAGTATGATAAAAGACACATAAATTTAGAGAATTTATCTGAAAAATGGGAGCTATTTTCTAATACAGAGATTGACTGACAAAATAAGAAAGTATATATGCTGGTATACAGAGACATTACTAAGTGTTTAATAAATGTATCCATTCCTTAAAAAAAAAAGCAAAAAAAAAAAAAAGTATTGGAGCCAGGCATAGTGGTACATGCTTGAAATCCCAGTACTTGGGAGGCTGAGGCAGGAGGATCACCATGAGTTTGAGGCCAGCCTGGACTACATGGTGGCACCCTGTCTCAAAAAAATGTATTAGGAAGCTGGGCGTGGGGGTGCACAGCTGGAATCCCAGCACTCCATGAGTTCAAGCCAGCCTGGGCTACACAGTGAGCCCCAGGCCAGCCTGAACTACATATGAGGCCCTGTGTTAAAAAAGAAAAAGAGTATTATGATGGTTTTGTAACATTTGTGTCACAGCATCATATTCAAATTATGAAAGTCTATTTTCTTCTGCTTTTCTTTCAGGATCTTTCAAGACACTTACTCTTCCATCAGTAAGTATCCCTGTAATAAGTCTGGTTTTGGAAATGGGCTGCATCAGTGAATTAAACTCATTAATATTTTGCTGGCTTTTATAACGTTTACATTATAAGTTTGGTTTGGTTTTTTAAAGGAAGATTGGTTGTTAAGTTCTTCAAATACCTAGGAGGGTGACTGCTCTTAGGAAATTGCGAACTTCACTGAGTTTGCTCCTGCTTCTGCCTTAGGAAGCCTTACAATCTTGGGCATGTAATTAACATTCCATTCTCAGTTGTCTTGTCTTTGATTGATTGATTTACTTATTTATTTTGGTGGTACCAGGGATCAAACTCAGGACCTTGTGCTTGCCAGGGAAGTGCTTATTCCACTTAGCTATCTCCCTGGCCCCTCAGTTGCCTTGTCCTTGAAAAGGGTGGTGCCGAGCTGAGTCATATTGGGATCTGAGACAAATGGAAAAGCCAGGAATACCATTCTTGTCTCCGACCTGTGTTGGGGGTCATAACATAATTTTTGTGTTAATTTTGATGTTGTAAAGTATTGTATTGAACAGTATATTCTGTTCACCACATCTGACCTATTACAAATTATGCAATACACCATGTTTATGAATTTTAAAATATATAATGTTGTTTTTTTCTTACTAAGCAATATACTGCTGTTAATAACAGACATGCCGGGGCCGGGGAGGTGGCTCAACAGGACGAGCGCCTCCCTGGCAAGCACAGGGGCCTGAGTTCAATCCTCGGTTCCGCCAAAGCAAACAAAAAAGAATCCAGGCGCACAAACACACGTAATACACGAGTTACGGTAGTCCGTCTATGTTGCAGCGCGGCTTTCGCAGACTCACAGTTTAGCGGATTTTCAAAAAATATTAAGCTAAATAACAGACATGCCTTGGCATGGTGCTGCATGCCTATAATCCCAGCACTCAGGAGGTTGAGGCAGGATTGTAATGAGTTTGAAGTACCCTTAGCTACTTACTGAGTTCAAGACTAGCCTGAACTACATAGCAAGACCCTGTCTCAAAAAAAAAACAAAAACAAAAACAAAACCCAGGAAGCGGAGGGAAATAAAAAGCATAAGGAAGCAGCAGGAGGATAAACCTTTTGATTTTTGTGACAATAAAATGTCAGATTGCAGTAATAGAACCTAACTGATTCCAGCCCTAGAGCCTGTATGGATGCTCTGTTGGGAAGGTATTCTAGCAGTAAAATGAAAATGAACCCTGTGTAATGTGATTGCCCTACTGCAGGATGAAGGTCGAGTTTAAGTTCAGGAATCAGATTTAAAGCCCAGTGCTTGGTTTCCAGAAAAGAATTCCACAGATCAGAAGTGTAGAAAGCCTGGAGAGGGGGGAAGGCAGGGTAAGGGAGGAACAGCTGCTGGTGATTCCACGTGTACAGACCATACCTGTAGACACCTGGCTACTTTAGTTCTTTTTAGGTTATGTTGGGGATTGGATCCAGGGCCTGCCTATGGAGCTGCGTCCCCAGGTCTTTTGAATTTTTTATTTTGAGAAAGGGACTCACTAAGTGGATAAGTTTGAACTTGTGATCTTCCTGCCTGGGCCTCCCCAAGTGCTGAGATTACAGGCATGCACCACTATTATATCTGGCAGAAGCTATTAATTTTTAAAACTTGTTTTGATTACTATATGTTCACAGTACATAATGATTACATTTATTGCGGGGAATTGGTACTTGCACATAACGCGCCTTGATGCTCTCTCTCTTTTTTTAATGTATTAGATACAGGGTCTTCAGGGTCTCACTATGTAGATCAGCAGACTCCTACGTAGTGATCCTGCTGTTTTCAGCCTCCCAAAGGCTGGGATTTCAGGAATGCACCACCATGCCTGGGGCTGGGGCCTGGCATGGAGGGCATGCTGGGGATTGAAGCCCACCTGCTGTGTTCTGCCTAAACAGGTGCTTTAGCCCACTGAGCCATCTGGCCTGCCCCCCCCCCACCTTTTAAAAAAATTTTTGAGACAGGGGGTTGCTATATATCCCAGTCCCAAGCCCAGTCTCACTTAGTACCTCAGTGCGCCCGAGGTGGGGCTGGCAAGGCAGGCCTAGGGATCGAACCGGGCTGCTGCGTTCTGCTTAAGCAGGCACTTTTTGATTTTATTTTCATCTGTGTCTCCTCTCCTCTTCCCACCTGCCTCCATCTCTTGGTCCTCTTCCTGTTTGCAAAAGATTCATCTCCCCATCTCCTATTGTCTTTTTATTTTGCTCATCAACGTGCTTATACTTGGGTTTCTCAAATAAGAGAAGCCATGTGGTATTTAAGCTTGGGTGTCTGATGTATTTCATTTAACATTATGGTCTCAAGGTGCATTCCTTTTCCTAAAGTGACTTATGTTTATCTTTATAACAGACTAGTACGCCAAAGTGTATAAATACTACATTTCCTTTATTCATCAGCTGATGGCCATATAGACCAAAAAATTATTTTTTTTGGGGGGAGGGGGCGGATACAGGGATTAAACTCAGGGGCCTGAGCTTGCCAGGCAGGTGCTTATGCTGATGAGCAAGCTCCCTGGCCCAAACTATTCTTTTCATGATCATCAATCTCATTATAGGGTTTAGAAGCATCTCCATGTCTGGGAATTAGGCTTCAAATATGTTTAAAATATGTTCTAAACATATTTTAAAATCACCACATGTAGTTTCTTACTAGATCAGTATAGACATGTTGCATTTGAATAAAGATATACCCGAGACATTTCTAGGTAAATTGATACACCCTGAGACCATACTCTTAAAGTGAAATAAATTGGACATACGTGTTTATATGTCACACTATTTCTCTGGTGTGAGAAATTGAAAGTGTCAGGACCAAAATGTGCACTAGACATTGGGAAATGGGAATAAAATGTTTACATGGGAAAAGGAAACAGGAAAGGAAGGAAGGGAAAAGGGGGAAAAGAACAGCGCGAACAAACAGAAACAAAACTTTTGTAAATAAGGAAGAAGAAGGCGGAAGGGAGGGGAGGGGAATGGGATAAAAAAAAAAATCACGATATATCATGTACAGGTACAGATTCCCTATGAGGAATGTGATCGTTGTGTATATCAAAAGTGTACTGCTAAAATTAATTAAAAAGCAAACTAGATACACAGAATGGAAAAAAACGAGACAAGTTGGGTTTGAGTCTGGCCCAGAAGCCTGAGGTCATTCGAGTCGCTGCCCTGAGCCCCACTTCCCTCGTGCCTTCATGAGATGCTTTTAGCTTGCGCACCCACCTGAATGGCTGAGGTCTGGGAACGGCTTCCGGTCTGTTAAAGTCAGTGGACAGGAGTTCAGGTAGTAACAACTGTAGTGACCATAGCAGCACCTCCACCCACGAGCAAGATGCAGGAAGGGGGAACATCGCAGAGAACTCTGGGGGAGGCAGCGAGAGTGCGCATGCGCACCTGCCACGCCTGTGTTGGCAGTGGCTTCCGGCTTCCGGCGGTCGTGAGCTGTGCGTGCCGAACGTCAGCCGGCGAGGTGGCTGCTGGGAGAGGGCTGCGAAGCGGGCGTCCGAGTTTGAGGATCCGTGCGACGTCATTAGAGAACTCGATGTGGGGCGTTCTAGGAGGGAATACAAACTTTTACTTTGATGCCCAGGAAGGCAAAATCCTCAGCATCACAGTTACTCTTGGTAACACCATTTATTTACATTTTTTGCTGTACGCTGTAATGGAAGCAGCCCTGAGGTGAAACCCTGAGATTTGGTGTCCCCCCTCCGCAGCTACCTATGAGCAGCGCAGATGAGAGCTACGAGCTGCGCGTCACCGGGCGCGCGGAGGACGAGCTTTTGTTCTACAACAGCACGCGCCTGTCGTTCGAGATGAAGAGGACGTCTGTCTTAGTTCAGACGGACAAGGCGCTGTACCAGCCAGGGCAGGAAGTGAAGTTTCGGGTTATTCTGCTCTTCTCGGATTTCAGGCCCTACAAGGCCTCTGTGGACGTCTTCATTAAGGTGAGTGGCAGAGCCGGGTCCCTCCGATCCGCCCTTCGGGAGCTTCCTAGCAGGTGCCCTTGGCCACGCTCACCGCCTTGGACGCGGGCCTGGGCCGACTGCGCCGTCCACGTGGGAGTCCTCGTTGCAAATGCTGGGAAGCCGGGCGGAGAGAGCGGGCTCGGTTCCCGGCCTTCGGCTCAGCCTGGCCTCGGCCGGGGTGCGTGTGCCACTTGCTTGCAAGCTTCTGTCTTCCAGGCGCGGACACGGGCCAGGAGCCGGGCAGATGGGGCCCCAGTTAGCAGTGGGTAGCGGGGAGGCGGAGTGGGGGGCACCCTGGCGTGCCCTTGCTGTCCCGCCCCTGTGCTCTGGTGCCTGCCTGGGAGGCCCTTGGTTTGCGGATTATTTGGACGTTTCTGCCATATTTGGGCTTAGCCCGAGTTGGGCCTTCCTGGAAGGGCGCAGAGAGCCAAATCGGGCGCCGCTGGCTTGGCCACGCGTGGCCTCCTGCCCAGGAGAGGGAAGCCTGGGCTCAGACCCAGGTTTGGGCACCGAGAACGAGGGGTGGCGCGCTCCTCTGTGCTCTGGCCGTGGACACGGGGCGCTGCCTCCCACCTTGGAGCCAGCAGAGCCAGCTTTAGGCCGGGGTTCAGTAGCTGTGATGTTTTCTTCATCGTCTAGTGTGGAATGGTTAGTTTCTCCGGAAAGCTTGCGAGAAGAAAGTGGAACTTGGTGCAGGAACTGGGCCCCGCGGGAGCAGTCGCGTGCCAACGCAGCGCCACCTGCAGGCCAATGTGGAGAAGTGTATCTTCGAGTCTCATCTTTTTGGGACTCAATTTGCCCGAATTTGGCCAAGAACGGGCAGCATGTCAGTGATATTTTAGTGTGGTTATTTAATTAATGGAGGTCATTTTAGGTATTTTGATTTTTCCCACTTTCATAACCAAACTCAGGAAAGGGCTTCAAGTAGCACTTAGCAATAGAAAACCCATGCCCCACTCCAGCCCTAATTCTGGCCCCCCAGCCCTGGAGAGAGAGGCCCTGCCAGCCCTGGGATGGCAGCAGCATAGCTGGCTTCAGCCCTGACCTTTCTCCTTTGAGAAGCTCCTGTACCTGGGGCTGGGGACGATGTTGTGCAGGTTCAGATACTGGCTTGAAGGGTCTGCCCTTGTGACTGCCCCAACTGACTGGCCCTGAGCGGCTACAGCTGTGGCAGACTCGGAGCTGCCGCCCTGGCTACATGAAGGGCGGCCTTGTCTGAGTGGCCTGACTTCTCTCTGTGGGCCAGGTGGATGTGTGCTTGGTGCGTGATCCATCACTTGGGGTGTCCTGCAGATGTCTGCTCTGGCTAGGGAGCTTGCTGCTGCGCTGTGCCACCCAGAGGTGACTGTTCAGTGTCACCTTCTGGCGGTGGCAGGGCAGTGGTCACACTGTGAGTGAATGGCAGGAGTTGACCACTTGCGAATGCTGGGCTCTGTGTGGTGCCCCTGTGCGTGGCTGTTCAAACTCCAGCGTGCTCTGTAAAGACTTCCAGAGCTGCTCCATTCTCTTGTGCCCTGCTTATTGGTGACATTTGGACCCAGGTCCAAGACAACTTTGGAAAACAAGAGATCATTTAGTTCTGTCCCGTCCATATCACCAGGTACAGAGGTATCAAAGTTCAGACTCTTGGACACCCGCTGGGAGCTGCAGCCCCTGACCACTGCAGCGCACCAGCCACGTGGGAACACTCCTTTCCTTCCACTTTGCATTGCACCAGGAGTTATCGTGATTACTTGAAGACTTTGTTGGTCTGACAAAGAAAAATAGCATTCTAGATTTTCATTTTCATTCCCTTAATTGCTATGCTGTGGTGGTTATCAGGTGTTTATTTTCCCCGGAGCTTTTTTCCTCCACAGTTGGCCTCGGAGTGTTGGGGCCCAGGCACAGCCCAGGTTTGCCCAGGACACAGTGACCTGCTTGCTCTCGACTTGCCTTTGGTCCCAGTTTCAACAATTAGTTTCTGGCCGACTCCTCCTTGCTCCTTCATTCTCAGCATTGTCCTTTCCCCACCCTGGGAGAGAGCTGTCTTCTGGTCTCTAATAATGGGCCAACTCATTACATCTCATCAAACAATAGAAAAAAGGGAACTATCTCATTCCAGTTCTCAGGAGCTCACAGTCTAGGTGGGAACAAAAAATTTGGGTTTTGTAAGATAAAATAGATAAGCTGATTTTACTGTGTGTAACGGTAAGATACACTGAAGCAGTGTAAACTCTGGGTGTTGGGGCTCCCAGAGGTCTCCCCTCCTGTCGGAAGTGCGGGTGGAGGCTGAGGAGCTCCCCACTGGGGCGGGCTGTTGGCTGTATTGCGGAGGTTTAGATGTGTGGACTTCTGCGGGGAACTGTCAGCGTGTGTGTGTTTAGAGGAGGAGGGCCTAGATATGTAGAGGGGCCCAGATTACAGAGCAAAAGAGTTAGACCTGGTCGGGTAGAAAAACAAAAGCAGAATCACTAGTGGATTATTGTAATGATCAGGACCAGTGTGTACTCAGTCTTCGCACAATGCCAGGAGCTGTGCCAAGCATGTCAGCCACTGTGCTTCTTTCTTCGGTCTCTGATGTGAAGTCTTGTACCGGGTGGAGCACCACTGGGTCATGCCAGGACTAGAGGAGGAGATGAGTTGTAAAACAGGATGTGGTGGCAGGATGTGTGTGGGAGAGAGGGAGGGAAAGAAAGGAGGAAGGGAGGGAGAGAGAGAAAGGCTATCAGAATGAATGAATGAGGCAGATTGGGGATGAGAGTGGAGTGTTGGTAGCTGAATACTGCATGAGGAATTGTTACGGCACAAGTCAAGACCTAAGTGTTTTTCATGTATCCTCCTGGTTAAACATCTGTCTGATCCATATTTGCTGATTTCAAAGACAGATGCAGGGTTGAATCCTGAATTCCACCTGGTGTGGGTGCTATAATATTGGGCCTTATCAGAAGCCTATAGTGGGTACTAATCTAACTTCTCTTGGCCTTGAGTTTTTTAATGATGAGGTGAGGGTTTTGTTACCTGAAGGTGTTATGGTGATTAGAGCCAAGGCAACATTCCTGATACAGAGCAGGCCTTAAGTAAACTGGCGGGGCATCTCTACAGAGAGCTCTGTTAACACCGTCACCACCGCTGCTGCCGCAGTGGAAGGAAATGTGGGGCTGAGAGTCAAAAGGTGGCTGCAAAGCAAGATGATCCCTGGAGAAATATGAGAAAAAAAAAAGAGACTTTGATTTCTCTTTTTGGTACTATAGGCTTGGCATTTTCCACAAGTTGTGTTAGTGTCTTGGTGAGGGGGGAGACTCCTGTGTGGCCGGGGGGTGCCACAGGGCTCCCTTCAAAACCCGTGAGGTACAGTGCATGGGGCAGCCTTGTGCTTAATGTGTCTGGTTTTTGTTGTAGGACCCCAAGTCCAATTTGATCCAACAGTGGCTGTCACAACAGAGTAATCTTGGAGTCATTTCCAGAACTTTTCAACTGTCTTCACACCCAATACTTGGGGAATGGTCCATTGAAGTTCAAGTGGATGTGAGTATAAGTAATTCAGGTGGAGAAGAATCTCCAAAATCATTTACTCATTGAACAAAAAAAAATAGTATGAATATTAGATAAGTGGTTAATTTTTAATTGATAGTCTATTAATGAACCATTACCATTACAGCGTATTATAGTTCAGTCATTCTTATTTCTTTCCTTGATACAATGTTTACAGGTTAAAATATTTGGCATTTGGTATAATAGATGAATTTTTTGCATGCACTGAGAATTTTATTTTATTTTTTATTTTTTATTTTTTTGGCGGAACTGGGGGATTGAACTCAGGCCCTTGGGCTTGCCAGGGAAGTGCTTATTCCACTGAGCCATCTCCCCGGCCCCCCTGCACTGAGAATTTTAGAAATGAGTGGTGAATAGCTATTTTATATCTCAGACTAATGATTCCTTTTTTTGGGGGATGATTCAAGCACATTACATTTATTGGGCATTTTATGTCTATTATTTTACATTAGCGTTTCATAAACAGTGAGTAACCAGATCCCTCACAAGCGAAGTGCAGGATGGGGTTCTCTTCCTATGAACGTTAACTCGAAGTGGAGCTTTGCCAGAAAAGCGGGTGTAGGGGAGCAGCTGTAAACACATGGCTTTGCCGCCTCGCCCCCCTGCTCATCTCCTGCTGTGTGGCCCATTCTCTCACAGCCCCCAGACCAGCTGACAGTACCACTCCCTGGCCCAGTGTGGTTCTGACCCATGGCCCATGGCATTGCTCCAAAATCTTAAAATATCAGCACTCTAATGGGAATTTTTAACAGTCTGCTTTCTCCTACCACATGCACGTATGTGTTTCTTGGTTCTTTTTTTTTTTTTTTTTTTTTTTTAACAGACTAATGATTCCTGATGAGCGAATGTTTTAGGCAGCAGTGGCCCTGGGCAGCCCTGCCACCTGTCCCTTCTCCCCAGCACCCCTCCCTCCTTTGGGCTGCCCTGAGAACTCTGATTAGTGGGTGTCATGTGTGGTAAACCTTATGCAGTTTCTTTCTTTCTTTTTTTTGGGTGGAACTGGGTATTGAACTCAGGCCCTTGCGCTTGCTAGGGAAGTGCTTATTTCACTGAGCCATCTCCCTGGCACCTTATGCAGTTTCAAAGCAGTAGCTTTTTAGGTCAGTTTAAAAGGAAAATGATAAATTACTAGGCAGGACATAGGAAATCACCATTTAAGTCAAATTGCCAAGTATCAGCAATTGTATGTGGTTCAGCTGAATAGATAACCTTCTGCCACACATGTGTTACTGGTAAGAAAAGCCTTGGTGAAAAAGTGTAAGTGTGTGAGTTTTAAAAAATAATTGATTTTTAAAAAAATTGTGATTCTAGGGGAAGAACTTAGTTTAGTTTTTTTTTTTTTTTAAAGCTTTATTTATTTATTTGTGTGTGGCCAGCTCAGCCCACCAGGGGGCGTGGCGGGCTGGCATGTGGTGCTGGGGGATTGAACTGGGGTCCCTGTGCTTTGCTAAGCTTGTTCTAAGTAGGTGCTTTAGACCACTGAGCCATCTCACCAGCCCCTTAGTTTAGTTTTTGAGATATTAAGATACTTAATATTTTTAATCTTTTCTTGGGTTTTTAATCTTCTCACTTTTGCTATATTAAAAATAATGGGATCAAAGAATATTTTGTTTTGGCAATTTTTCATGCCTGTAGCTTCAGCTTGTGATCTTCTGAATAACTACTTTGAAGGTAACAATATACAGTGTATTAACTATGGCTATTCTTTTATTATTTTGTTCTGAAATTCTTTTTTTTACCCATACAAAAAATAATGTGCTTAGGAAGGCGCAGGGACTAGGGTTCGAATCCTGGCATGCTGTGCTGGCCCTGCCTCTGGGGTGCGCTGAGATGCAACTGAGATAGGTGGCACAGTAGCACGTGCCTGTAATCCCAGTGCTTGGGAGGCTAAAAACAGGAGAATCACTATAAGTCCAATCTGTGTGGTGAGACTCTGTACTAAATACAGACAATAAAACAAAGCAAAAGTAATGGGATCTTTACTCTTATTTTTTAAATTTATTTGGTACAGGGTCTTGCTACGCAGTTAGGACTTGTAGTGATCCTCCTGTCCCAGCCTCTCCATCACAGGGATTATAGGCGTGCACCACCATACCCAATTTCAAGGCTGGCACAGCGTGTCTGGTATTCCAGGGCTGTCACAGCACAGCATGTGGTACTGGGGTTTGAACTTGGCTCTTTGTGCTTGCCAGGCGGGCGCTTAGACCAAGTTATCTCCCCAGCCCAAAGGATTAGGGGATGTATTTGAATGGAGAACACCTGGGTTCAAGCCCCAGTATGCAGTTTTTTTTCTTTTAAATTTTGAGACAGAATCGTGCTAAATTCGATCTAGGCTTGAACTTGTGATCTTCCTGTATCAGTCTCCTGGAATACTGGGATTATGGGCATGTTCCACCATAACTGGCTGGGATGTAATTGTTTTTATGTAATATAAATTTGCCATTACATATATAATAGATAACTAGTTGTATTTTTCTATAACATATGTTTTGATAATGAACAACTATGTGCTATATAATGTTTTTCTTTTTCTCAGAACCAGAAAATGTATGAAAATAATCTCGATTCATGGCCCCCTGCAGCTTTGTAGATGGCTTCCCGTTTCATCCCTTTTAATTTGCAGATTCTACTGAATGCATGGCATGAATGTAAAGAATACTGGAAGCTGTGTGTGGCTGTGTGTGCCTGTCCTCCCAGCCCTGAGGGAGCTGAAGGCAGGGAGAGCGCAAGTTTGAGCTCAACACTGGCAGCTTAGTAAGGCCCTATTTCAAACACAGTACAACACAACACAACACAATAAAACACAACACAGGGACAAAGCAAAAACAAACTGGAGATGCTGCTCAGTGATAGAGTGCTCCTGTGTTCAATCTCCAGGAGCAGGGCAGTCAGGGAGGATACTGAGGCAGTGTTGTAGAAGAGGTGGGCATTTCTACATCCATCTTACCGTGACAGGAGCGTGGCCCAGAGCAACTGAGCAGCTTCTTGAGGAAGCAAAACTTTATTTGACCTCTCATCCTGTCTTTGGTTCAGTTTAGATTAAATGGTGGCTTTCTATTCACGTCATTGCTTTCAGATTCTTAATTTCTCTGTTAGAGCAATAAACTTAATAAGTCTTTGAACATATGAGTGTGTGCTGTAGACCCAGCTCCTTCTTTAACTGAGGTTTTGGTTAAAAGTTTTCCATTGTTTTTACCTGCAGTTCACATTTTTGGGGGCCATTTCCTAAAAGAGTCACACCAAGTGTGCTTGCCATCTTTCTGTAGATGGCAGCATGGCGAGCGAGGCTGTCCCGAAGGGGCTGGGGGGTGGGGAACGGTTACGAGCGAGGGAGTGTGAGACGCACGCGGGCAGCATGGAAGGCTGGGCGGGATGAATCACAGGGAAGAGTCAGCTTCACAGAGGAGGAGGAGGAGAGGGCAGGTCTTTGTGCATCTTAGGAGAGGACCGGATTTTCACAGAGGCTGTGAACATGAGGAGAACCTGCGTGGGGATTTGGGAGGAGGTGGAGTTAGTGGAGCATTGGAGAATGGTGGGAGGTGACAAAGCATACTGTGAGTGTTGATGAGTTAGGATTTTGTTTTCAGTTCCCAGTTACATTCTCCAGTAGTCAGTTGTTTTGTTATTTATCTATCCACGTACTCACGCATCCATCCATGCACCCACACATCCACATATGTATCTGTGCTCCAGCTACTCATCCATCCATGCATCCATGTATGCAGCCATCCGTGAATTGATCCATGCATCCATGCACCCACCCGTGCATGTATCCACCCATGTACCCGTGCATCCACCCATGCATCATGTATCCATGCATGCATCCATGCATCTATCCATCCAGACATGCATCCTTCTTTCCATACATCTATCTGTGCATCCATCCACACATCCATGCATTCACCCATACGTTCGTCCGTCTGTCCGTCCATCCGTCCATCCACGCATCTCTCTGTGTATGCAGCTGTGTAGCCCTCCACTCACCCATTCATGTATCCGCTCATGCATGCTCCATCTGTGCACCCGTCTAGCGAGTGTGTCAAGGACTCACTGTGTGATGATGAATACAGGGAAGCTAAACTCTTGTATTTACTTGATTTCTACTTTCAGAGATCACAGCTGTTTGGTGACATGCGTAATATGCTAAAAGTTAAATAGCACAAAGGTGATGGAAGAACCACGGCAGTGCAGTAGCAGAGGAACTGTCGGGTGCTGGCCCACTCTGGTGATATACACGGTTATAGGAGGATGAGTGTGAGTGTTTGCTCCTCTCACACTGTGCTTTATTTGGCTGTCACTTTCTTGCCAATGTTTCATATATCCTGTAGTCTAAGTATGTATGGGCTGGTTACCTCGTCTGAGGTCACCATCCCCCACTCTCAGAGCCCTGCAAGCCAGGCTGCCTTTAGGTGGCTGGTGGCCAGCAGCTGGGCTTGTGGGTCGGGTGTCTGTTGCTGGTCTACTCCAAAGCCACTCTGCATCATGGCAGGCAAGGGCAGTGATCTGTGATGGCCCCGAGAGCTTAGTCTGTTGGACGAATGGTGAACAGAACGAGGGCCAGAGGCGGGAGGGGGGTGGGTGCTGGGGGGGGTCTTCATGTACTGGTGGACTGGGAGGATTCCCACGCAGGGTGTATGAGCTTGACCTGGTACATCACTTTTTTTTTTTTTCTCCTTCGGAACCAGGGATTGAACTCAGGCCCTTGCGCTTGCCAGGGAAGCACTTATTCCACTGAGCCATCTCCCCACCCCCCAGAGATTTTCCTTTTTTCTTTCTTGATGGAACCGGGGATTAAACTCAGGCCCTTGTGCATGCCAGGGAAGTGCTTATTTCACTGAGCCATCTCCCTGGCCCCTGGCACATCACTTTGGTAGGCAGGAAAGAGCTTCCATTTTTAAGAGAAATTTTTTTAAAGAATATTGTGTCCTTTGTGTTTCTTAAATTCGTCCGTGCAGCTCCCTGTGCCTGCTGCG